AATGGCAAAGCCAGCCTGTTCCATTTGGGTGGTGAGTTATCTCAATGGTACAACGCCGCCAGGAGAGAGGAGCGCATGCTTGCTGAGGTTGGGGTGGTTGGTAGTGTCTTATGGGGAGGTCTAGTCTGTTCACTAATTTTTTTCTTTTTTTTTTTTTTTGCTTTCTAAGGCTCTGATTGCCATGGGAATTGACAGAAGTTCACTTAATTCCCTTGAAGCATCATCTTTTTCCCCAAAGAAGAGACAGCTATTTGGTAGTAGAAGAAGGAAGTCTTTCTTTTTGAGACAGTCTGGAAAAGACCAGGCTCCAGGATCAGATTCTGATGAAGATTCCAAGAAAACGGTAAGTCTCTGTCTAAGGGACTGATCCTACCACATAGCTGTCTAGGGGGAGAGATCTGGCTATTAAATTAATAAATATAAGTATATACTTAATAATTTACTCATTTTTTCTGTTCATCCATTTACACATACTTTCATTCATCTACATATCTATTCAGTCATCCATTTTTTAAAAATTGTGGTGAAGTATATGTAACAAAACGTTTGCCATTTCTACCACTTTTAGGTGTAAATCCAGTGACATTAATTACATCCCGCATGTTGTGCCACCATCATCATTATCTGTTCCCAATTTTTTCAACACCCTTGACAGAAACTCAGTACCCTTTAAGCGATACCTCCCCATCCCCACTCCTCTATTCAATTATCCAGTCAATCCATTTACTTACAGACATCTATTTAAGAATATTTACAGTGTTCACTAAGGAGACTTGGGTGGGGCAAACGGTTCAGTGCTCAGCTGTTAACTGAAAGATTGGCCATTTGACTCCACCCAGAGGCACCTCAGAAGAAAGACTTGGAGGTCTACTTCCAAAAGGTCATAGCCATTGAAGACCCAGTGGAGCACATTCGCACTGCGACACACACGGGGTCACCGTGAGTCAGAATCGACTCGATGGCAGCTGGTGTACAGTGTTCACTGTCTGCTAGGCACTGGGTGGGCACTGGGGACATATGTAAGACAGACAGGGTTCCTACTTCACAGAATTTTCAGCTAATGAAAAAGACACACGAATACCTAGGCAGTTACTAGTCAGTGTGATAACAGACGGTGTTTAGGGCTGCGGGAGAACAGAGCAGGGGCAGTGTCTTAGTGTGGGCTCCCTCAGAAGTGGACCCTGAAACATTTGAGCTCGAGTCGTTTCCTTGGGCAGTGATCCCAGGAGGTGGTATGTGGAAGGGCAGGTGGCCAATTAAAGTGCGGTTTCAACCCAGTTACCAGTGAAGGTTCTTGTTGTTGTTAGGTGCCGTCGAGTTGATTCCGACTCCTAGTGACCCCACGCACAACAGAACGAAACCCTGCCCAGTCCTGCGCCATCCTCACAATCCTTGCTGTGTTTGAGCCCATTGTTGCAGCCACTGTGTCAGTCCATCTGGTTGAGGGTCTTCCTCTTTTTCACTGACCCTGTACTTTACCAACCATGATGTCCTTCTCCAGGGACTGATCCCTCCTGACAACATGTCCAAAGTAAGTGAGACGTAGTCTCGTCATCCTTTCTTCTAAGGAGCGTTCTGGTTGTACCACTGAAGGCGATAGGAGTTCAACTCCTCTGGAGTGAGAGCACTAGACTGTCTGTACACGCACTTCATCCATCGTTGGTTAAAGACGTCTGTGTAGCCAGAGACATCTGTTGTCCTGGCGTGTGTGGACTAGGGCACAGGGAACGCAGGTCACCAGAGAGTGCCCCCCAGGTGAGGCCAAGGGAATATGGACAGGGCAACCAACAGCATCTGCTTCAGAAAAGGGTCCCCAGAGGAAGCAGTGCTGAAGCCGAAAAGACAGATTAACCAGGCAAAAGGAATAATGTTGCATTACGGATAGAGAGAATAGCTCATGGAAAGATCTGGAAGCAAAGGAGAGCTGAGTGTGTGAGCCAGCAGAGAAATTGAGGGATGGCTACAAAAGGCCTTGAGCAGGAAGCTAAGGAATTCACCCTGCACCCTGAGTACAAGGTAGAAGCGGCACTGAAATGTTGTTAATCTGGAGTGTGATGACCAGATTTGCCCTTTTGAAAGGTCATCCTGGACGCATTGAAGAGAGGGGATTGGAGGAGGACAAGGATGGAGGTAACCAATCAAGAGGCTGCTGCAGTGAATCCAAGCGAGAGGCTGTGGTGACGTAGACTAGGGTCAGGGCAGCGAGGGCGAAGAGAAATCGGCAGATTACAGTCATCTGTAGAAGGTAGGGAGCCCTGGTGGCACAGTGGTTAAGAGCTCGGCTGCTAACCAAAAGGTTGGCAGTTCAAATCCGCAGCTGTTCCTTGAAAACTCTATGCGGCAGTTCTCTTCTGCACACAGGGTCACCACGAGTCGGAATCTACTGACAGCAGTTAACAACGGTTTGGGTAGCCGACCTGATGGAGGGTGATTCACTGTGACAGGAAAGTAACCCGTTTTTGGGGTGGGGAAGTTCAGTCTGGGACATGCCACTTGTGAGGTTCCTGTGGGAACCAAGCAGGGATCTGAGCGGGCTGTTGGATGTGAAGAAATAAAGCTTTGGGGGTGGGGTGTGCAGTGGGAAAAAATTAAACCCAGTTGCCAGGGTGTTGATTCTGACTCATGGTGACCCCGTGTGTGTCAGAGTAGAACTGTGATCTATAGGGTCGTCAATGGTTGATTTTTTTAAAGTAGATCACCAGGCCTTTCTTTGAGGTGCCTCTGGTTGGACTTGAACCACCAACCTCTTGGTTAGCAGCGGAGTGTGTTAAGAGTGTGTTAACCGTTTGCACCAACCAGGGACCACTATCACTGAAGTGGGAGGTGTTTGCACATGTTTTAATTGTAAAGAGAGAAGTCAGGAGAGAGGAAAGTACTGAAGATACAGGCCAGGGAATGGTGACTGGAGCTGCCTTCCTGTGGCAGAAGGTGGGAGACGGAGCAGGCAGAAGGCAGGTGTGCATGCCTGCGAATGGGTGGGGAGAGGGAGGCCAGGAACGTTTGCAGAGAGACAGACCCCGTCCGTTGCTGCACCCAGCTCTCGATGCCGAGGCTGGGAAAGACCTCGGGGGTTAGAGACTTCGTTCCCATCAGACGCAGCATACTGAGGAGACTGTACACAGCAACATCCTTTAAAGTTTCTCTTTGTCTCACAAAACAGCAGGTGAAGACTTGGACAGCTAATATAAAATGTCTTTTCCCCTCCGCTGGAGCAGGGAATAGCTGTGGAAAGCCTGTAGGCTGCTTTTAGATTAGCTCATTGCAAAGAGGTAGTTTCCTCTGAGGCCCTGGCTGGTGAGGATCTTTGGGAAAGGTGCCAGTACAGATACCTGAGTTTTCCAGATAGCTGAAGGGACGCCCGAGTTTTCCGGATAGCTGAAGGGACACCCGAGTTTTCCGGGTAGCTGAAGGGACACCCAAGTTTTCCGGGTAACTGAAGGGACACTTGAGTTTTCCGGATAGCTGAAGGCTTGTGTCCCTTCATTTCCAGAGCCTTTAGAATTGCAGCTAACATAAAATGAATACCCTCTTGGGCAGAGCCTGAGGAAGTTCTTGAGGCTTAGTATATAGATTCTGTGGCATTTATTTTGACTGTTCTTTTTAGTTACTGACTGTTTTAAATCTATTTAGGCAGGTGTTTAAGGCACTTCACTATCTGATCCCAATCCATCTTTCTAAATTTATCCCTTACTTCTGCCCCTCACAAGCATTGCTTCCAAAGTAGACTTTTTACTGCATTCATGACCTGAGACATTGCTCCTGAGGTTTTGGTAACATTGTATTTGCTTTTGTTGGCAATGGATAATGCACAGAGGGAGTACAATTTCTGTGGGTAGGAAAAAAAAAAAAAAACCAAACCTGTTGTTGTCAAGTCAATTCTGACTCCTGGAGACCCCATGTGTTACAGAGCAGAACTGCTCCCCAGGGTTTTCTTGGTTGTCTTCACAGAAGAGATGGCCAGATCTCCAGGGCTTTCTTTCTTCCACGGTGCCGCTGGGTGGGTTCCAGCTACCAGCCTTTGTGGTGGCAGTCAAGTGCAAACCGTTTGTGCCCGCCAGGCCTCTAGAAAGGTACAGACATAAGAAATATGAGTGGTCAAACCATATTTCTCTAATCTTGAATATGAAATAAGAAAAGCGAACATTTGGCGTTCCCTGGAGATGAAGTGAGTAGACACATATAAAATATCGAGCATCTTTACTGCACGTGGTATCAAAACATAGTGGATTGTGAAGCTTTGAGGAGAGGCAGCCCTGGCCCTAGATGGCCCACCATACTTTGTCTTACAGCCACACCTCCTAGAGCAAACCAAACGGCTCTCCCAGAATCTGTCAGTGGACCACTTCGATGAGAGCAAAGACCCCTCCCAAAGGCAGAGGGCCCTGAGTGCTGTGAGCATCCTCACCATCACCATTCAGGGTAAGTTCCACCCCTAGTCCAAGGGAAAGCCGAATTCAGTGTCCTTCCATCCTCATCCCGAGCCCCACAATCCTCTGCAAAGGGGGCTTTTTGGGAACCAACCCACGGTATGCTCCTGCAAAGAGTGGCTTCCAGTCCCTTCTTGGAGCGCTTCAACAAAGAGACCTGGAAGAAGCGGCCCTTCCCTGTGGGCCCACACTGGGCCAGCACTTGGATAGTGGTGGGAAGTGGCTAGACATCAGATGGCTGGGGCTGTGAGCACAGGACCTATTGATCTGGCCAGGCCATCACGGGAGGTCTCAATGACAACGACAGTCTAAGTAAGAAGAGAAAGAAGACACACAAGTTTCCAGAAGCTGGCAGTCATCATCAAAGTTAGAATGAGAAATCTGGTAAGAACCATGGAAAACTTGTGCGGACAGGCCGGAAACATCTGATGACCTGATTAACAGCATGTAACACGGACCCAACTGAGGGTTTGGCGTTCAGAGGCAGGACTCAAGTCCCTGCAAGGATGGGGTCAAATGGGTGCCTTAGCATGTTTGAGCCTGGTTGCATCACCTCATGGGCACATGAGTCCCTGAAAAGGTGCCAGGGATGCAGTACTTTCAGCCTGAACTCAACCAGCTTAACCAAAAAACCCGTTGCCATGGAGTCAATTCCAACTCATAGCCACCCTATAGGACAGATAGAACTGCCCCATAGAGTTTCTAAGGAGTGGCTGGTGGATTCGAACTGCTGACCTTTTGGTTAGCAGCCAAGCTCTTAACCACTGCACCACCAGGGCTCCTCAACCAGCTGAGAAAGTGCCTTATTTTGTTTCAGTGCTTACATATGTCCCTGCCCAAGTATCTCTTCTTCCCCTGAGCCAGTAGGAAGCCATCACCAAGGTCTGTCTTGAGTGAACATCACTCTGGGTTGTGTCTAGCTCTCTCATGAGCTCATAGCTAGTCAACGTTGACTTCCCAATCTGTACCCTTAACAGGGCAACCTACCCCCTAGAAGCTCAATAAAAGTGTAAGGACGTGGTTTGACTGTATCACATGGTGGTTGTAAGTGGGAGGCTGTAAATATGATTTTGGTAGCACAAGTGATCATACTGTATCAGGAGTGAACACCCTTCTTGACTGATCATACTGTATCATGAGTGAGAGCCCTTCTTGACTGATCATACTGTATCAGGAGTGAGCGCCCTTCTTGACTGGTCACACTGTGTCAGGAGTGAGCGCCCTTCTTGACTG